GCATCCCATTTCTGGGGATTTTCGATTTTTCTTTGTCGTATTAGTTTTCCGCGCATTCAAAAAGATGCGCGGATTGAATTGCGAGCCGGCTTGTTTCTTTAAGTTTTGATTTTTCAAGGGAATTGTCGAAATAATTTCGTACAGTTCTGCTTTTTCAGTCTTGGCTTCCGCATGTAACATTTCTAAAAATAAAGTACTGTTTAGTACTGCCTGACCTGTACGTGGTTTATGCATAAGTTTATAGCCCCCGTCATCCATTATTTCAGCCAGGAGACATCTCCTTGACATTCAAGAAAGCGATCTTCAGAATTAAATATTAAAAAGACAAAAAACGTCGTTTTAATTCGTTTTTCAGCACGTTTTTTTTATCATTATTTCTTCATCACTTGGAAAATCAGAAAAATTTGCTTAAAAAAATAATTTGAAGACATAGTTGATAAAAAAAGTTGAATCTGAATCAGCTGAATTCAGTAAGAGGCGACAGCGCGCATATTTAAAAAATAAGTTCGGAGATAATTCGGATAACTTTTGAAAATAATTAAAAAATAAAATAATTTTATACACAAATTTCACCTGAGTCAATTATCAAACAACCATCTCATAATATAAATAAACACAGGAACACAGACACACAAACACATACAAGCACAGACATTCATTTTGCCAGCTTCCTAGAAATTAAAATTCTTGAAATTCAAGTAAAATTTCAAGAAATGTCAATGGGTATGTTTAATTAAATTTTCTTCATAATTTAGGAGTCCCGGAAAATTAAAACACTAAAAAAGAAGTCGAGGTGGAACAGAGATCACTTTAATTTCCATGCACAAACGCGCTTAAAGAAATGTCCGTCCATATTTGTGATCCTCAGCCATTTTGACTCGCGGAGCCCATTAATACAGTAGCTCGAATTCTGTGGCGGAGCCCCTCCCCGCAAAAATATTTCCAGGGCTTTTCCAAGGGTCACAGATATAGTTTGTCCTCGCTCAGCCCCATTTTATAACATTCGAAGTAAGTAAAAATAAATTGGTCAGTTGGAAACAATTGCATTGGTTTCAGAAGTGATCCACATTATTTTTTTCAAGTGCTCCTCAAACTTTCGCATGGCCCCACGAAATGTACAGAAGATCAGAAGCCCTACAAGTTCAGACTACTTGAGAAAATACAGTAAATCAGCGGATTATCCTCGGGTTTGTTCCACCGAATTCGAATAAGAAAAATAAGACGAATACCGCGTGTTTATTTGCACACAGTGCGCACATTTTTTTTATACTGTTGCAAACATCCAGAGGCAAAAATACGACACTATACATAGTGATTAAGGTAAATATACTGTAATACTATACCTAATTTCAACAAAGGTCAAACCAAACGGTACTCGATTTTATTTTTAAACTTCACTTCTTCAGATCAGCAAAATACAGTATCTTCGTTTTAAAAATTTCATCCAAAAATTTCGTGTTAGATGAATTGCAAATAAGACAGAAAAAAAATCATACCCGGAAGACAGATGCACGTTCCATTCACGGGATTGCAGTAGGCGTCATTTTTGCACTTGCACAAGTTTTTGCACTTTTCGCCATACCAGTAAGTGGGACAAGGTCTGGAGCACGTGTCTCCGTCCCAACCAGCTTTACAATTGCAATCCCCAGTTCCTGGATGACACCTGAAAGTTGAAAAAAAAATTACAAAATAAGATTTTTAAAAATCCAGTCTGACTTCCTTCAGAAAAAAATGCATTAAAAACCTCACCAACTCTCAAACCTCCAAAACTCAAATTTTTCGAAATCTTTTGGCTATTATTTTCTTGACACAGGAAAGAGAAAATCAATAAAAAGGATCTTGATGTGTTTTGAAAGAAAATGAAAAACTGATTGGGCAAATGAACAATAAGTTCAGCATCTGTCAAGAAGCTATTAAAGGCCCCAAAATATCACCATTTACAATTTCCTGCAATTTTTTTCTATCTTTCCCACATGTTGGGCAAGCACACTGCACCTCACTAATTCCAATGGAAATTAAATTATATAATTAATAAATTCCTGGAAATTGTGGGAAGCTAATTCCCATCCTCAAAATTGCATTGCCAGGCACTTCTTGGCACTGCAACATCTTTGATTCTTGTTCCTTGACCTATCACAGGTATTCATTTAATTATGCAGTAAAAACCAATAAAGGGTAAAGTCTCTTAATATATATACACAGCCAATGTAAATCATCATCATCAGTTCTTAGTCCAGTACAATTGTTGTGTGAGAAGAATTTGCTGAGTTGTTGATATAACCATTATCTTGTGAAATATATCTTTAGTCTGTTAAGTAGGATTTCCTAAAAGGAATTTCTGGCCTTGTCCTGGGCTGATTGTGTTTCATTCTAACTCAAACATCAACTTAAATTGAGGCAACATCTGTCCCCAATACCACAACAAAAATGCTTGTTTCGTCAATTCAAATATTTGTACGCTCTTGAATATCATATTATTATAATACTGTTATTATAATATAATAATAATATGATTATATTTAAATATTATTTTATTACTATTGAAATTATTTTAAAAATAATTATTAATACAGTTTATAAATTATACATTAATTAATTTTTTGCTTATTTTTTAATGATCTCTTGAAATTCAACTTAAAGAGGTTCTACTGCCTTATGATGAACACAGAACAATTGAGAGTAATAAATAATAGATTTCACATTGACCAAGGAGTAAAAAGTAAGATGAAAATAAAATAAAATTGGCATCTCACGTTTCAGTGTTGGGTTCTTCACAGGCGCAAATTTGACTGCAACCCGGACCATACATGTTCGGTTTGCAAGCCCTGCGGTCGCAAAAAGTACCAGCCCAGCCTTCCTTGCAATGACATTTGCCATCCACCGGGTCACAAATGGCGTCGTTTACGCAATGACACGAACCCGTGCAGTTCACACCCCAATTGCCCAGAGGACACAGGTCCTTGCACTGCAAAAAGAAATTAAATATGAAAGTACTGTACAGTAAAGTCTTGCTACAATGAAACTGTTGGGACCGGGAAGACAGCTTTGTTATCCAGTACATAACGAGAAATTAGTTGTTGAGCAATTTGAAAAAATTACTGTATCATTACTATTGGACAGAGACCCGAAAAATACCTTGTTGGAATCAATGATTCTTTATAATGAGATTCGTTGTAACGAGATTTTACTGTAATAAAAATTATGATGTTGTGAGAGACCAAACGCTAGAATTTGGTTTCAGCTTGTGGTCAACCCAACTCCATGCTACAAACTTTTAGGAACACTATTTAATATTCTGTCGAAAATTTTATTTTAACGACATTTTCTTTTAATTTCCAGAGAAAAATCCAAGGACACATAATCACACTTCGAAAAATCTGATTACAGTTATAATCTCTGTACAGTACCACAACCGCTGTACAGCGCATTGAAATTTTGGCATTCTCTATAGAAACAAAACTTGTCAAAATAGAGAAGGAAATCCCTCTATGCTGGAGGCAATTTTTCAAAATTAGCTAAATAGATGGTAAAATGATTACAGAATTGCCAAATAACTTTTCCTACATAGATCTTAGGATTGGAAATACCATTTCTTTTTATAATTGGCCTAAACTTAATTTTCAAGTTTAGCACACAATGTCTGCATCTTGAGTCAGTGTCTGCATATCAGTCCTTTTTTTATGGATTTTCATAGAAAAATAAGTGTCCAAAGGTCAAATTGTCTGCATGTCAAGGTGTCCACATGTGGGGGTCTCACTGTATATCCCAAAATGTACAATTGCACAACTGATGTAAATGCATACACTTTCTTCCCCTCCCCAATAACAAAAAAAGAAAGAAAATATCATTGATAAAAATTGTACCACAATACAATTACTGAACCCAAATTAAAGCACAAGGTGTTCAGCCTGCTCCCACATACATTTTTGTTGATCAAACAATTTGGAGAAAATCTTTGATGAGAAGTTGATGATTTATCTTGGTCCTCTATGATTTTGGAAAGAGTCTTTTGATTGAATTTCATGAAAGAGATTGTACATCAAACTTGACTCCTATTTAAAACAATTCACATCACAAAAAAAAGACCAGTTTTAAATTCAAAACTTGGTCAAGAACAAAAACATGATCAACTGCAAAGTCAATATCATCCATATCCTTCTTTTTCGCATATTCTATATTGTATACCTAAAAATACAGACAAATAGAAAATTAAAAACAATTCCTCAAAAATCCATCTGACAGGACACACACAGACATCGACATTTCATCCAAACAAAAAATCCATTGATGAAAAAAATAACCGAGACGCTATCTATGAAACTTGTTTTTCTGAAATTGTAAAGAAAACTAAAAATAAAGACAATGAAGAAAAAAAACATCGATCAAAGCTGAGGGAAATCCCGAGGCGAATATTTGCATAAATCCTCACCCTTCCGTCCTGTGCCGCAGATAAAAGCAGCTTCACTTTCCCTCCAGTCGCAAAATGGGACGTTAAAAAAAGGAAGCATTCAAGAAAATCCAACGACTTCTCTTTTTTTTTTTAATTAGAATACGCGAAAAATCATTTCCATGCAGAAAGGGTCATTTCGAAAGTCTGGACAAATATTTCTCCGGGACGCTATTTTATTTTATTTTGAATCCTGAGAATTGACAATAAATCAGTTGACGTCCCCAAAAAAGAGAAGAATTTGCACCAAAAAATGTTTATTTGTCTCGGATAAAAATTTCTGAGGTCTTCTATATTCTAGAAGTTTGAAAACATATGAAAATGGCATCTGAATTTTAATATTGAAAACTACGTCCGGGAAATCAATCAATTTATTTCAGGCTTCAATTTGAAAATCCGCTCATAAAAATTTAATATTTATTGCACTGTATTGTCGAAGTCAATTGCTTTTATATTTCCCTACAGTCGAAAATGGGACGTTAAAAATTATTCAAGAAAAATCCCAACAACTTCTATTTAAAAAAACATAAGATACTCAAAAAGCCATTTCCAAGCAGAAAGAGTAATTTCGAAAGTCTGGACAAATATTTCTCCGGGAAGCTCTTTTTTTATTTTGAACCCTGAGAAATGACAAAAAGCTGCCGACATCTTCAAAAAGATGGCAATTGAGAAAACATGTTTATTTGTGTAGGATAAGGAATACATATATTTTATAAGCTTGAGAAAGTTTATAAATGGCACCTGATTTTTAAAATGAATACTTCCACGGGGAAATCCAGAACATTTTCTCAGGCTCCAATGGGAAAACCCAAGCATTAAAATTTAATTTAGTTTTACTGTTTTAATGAAGTCATTTGGTTTAGATTTCCCTCCAGTCGCAAATGGGGCCGTTAAAAAAAATTGAGATACGCGAATAAGCCATTTTCAAGCAGAAAGGGTACTTCCCAAAGTTTGGACAAATATTTCTCTGGGAAGCTCTTCTTTTCATTTCGAACCCCGAGAATTGACAATAAATCAGCCAACGTCTTCAAAAAAGAGAAGCAATCCAGGAAATCATGTTTATTTGTAAGTTTGTGAAATCTTCTAATTTGTAAGTTTGTGGAATCTTCATATTTGTAAGTTTGTGAAATCTTCATATTTGTAAGTTTGTGAAATCTTCTAATTTGTAAGTTTGTGAAATCTTCTAATTTGTAAGTTTGAGAATTTCTGAAAAAATGTCTCTGAATTTGTCAGATTTGTAAATCCAACAATAAAATATGGAAAATTTTGCATTGCATTAGCGAAGTCATTTGCTTTGAATTTAAAGTATACCCCTTTTTTTCTTCCATGGTGAAAGGAGCAGGGAAATATGAAAGGGGAAAAAAGGGACTTGAGTAGAATGAGTACCTCGCTCACACTTTCTGCGAAGTACAGTAATACGTACTCCGCTGTCAGTACTCATGCCAGGACTTCCTCATTCTTTCTCATCGACGCGTGAGCAGAGTAAAATCAGTGGAATGGGCAACACAGAAATGCACGATACCTTGGAGTTCATTCGAACATGGAATAATTGTTTTCAGTACTCACTTGAGTATAATTAGCCTACCAAAAAAAAACAATTATCGGAAATTAATACAAAAAAATCCGACGATATTTTATATTCTCCGGCGATTCAGCAAAAACGGAACAAGAAAAAAATTACGAATTTCACACAAAAGCATTACTGATCATTTTACTCATTCACCATTTTATTTTCAAAAATACATGAGCGTAACATAGAAAATTAATTCCCTAAGAAGCTGAAACAAGCTTTTAAAATGTTTCAAAGTTTCAAAACCCATAAAATCGCACATTAAAAAATGGGGGAAGAAATATAAACTGCGAGAAGAGGAAGAAATATAAAATATAAACTATAATTTTTTTCAAAACAAAAATAATTTATAAATGGGATCAACTTACACCTCTATACTACGTTTATTGACTTTTAATGCCTACTATTGAGATTAAGCAAATTTATCAAAATAAAATAAAAAATACATCAGGAAGATTTTGTCGCGATACAAAATGTTCAGTGCACGAAAATATTGCGCAAAATCTGTGGGGAAACTATTTCGAAGTAGGTTTTTCATGCGCTAAAGCAGATTTTTTTTTTGCACGACAAACTATATTTGCAGATTATCGCAATCTTTGAATTCATTTTCCTTCATTAGCCCCGCTTTTTTCAGTTGATCATTCGATTTGTGACTGCAATCAACACCGAGTGAAAGTGTAACGAGCTTCAATTAATAAATCAGTCAAACTGAAGTGAATAAAACAAAAAATCACGTTTAACAAAGAAAAAATTAAAACTTTCACACTGAACCTTTGCAATCGTTTGAACACTTGGGATTACAAAAAAAAATCAGAAAACCGGTCAGAGACGATAGGATAAAAGAAGCCCCGCAAATCGCTTCTTGTAATAAAGCTCAAGGTTAACCTTGGAAATGTAATTGCGGACACAAAACAAAAACAATTTAAACAAATACAGTATAAATAAAATAAAAACTCCATGCAGTTAAGAATTTGAAAAATACAAAGCAATAAATGTCTCAGACCGTTTATTTATTGCAATGAAATTGTGTACTTGTGCAGAAAACATATTTTTCCTAAAATAACGTGCCTTTATACAGAAAAAGAAGCAGTTCTTCAATATTTGTATCATTTCACTCTATAAGCTCCCAACATTTTTCCTGATCCGCTGTCCCAACATTCATTTGACCCCACACACAAAAAAAGCGGCATCTTCACGAAAATCTCCGTCAATAATTAATTTCTTGGAGAGAAAAAAAAAAGAAGAAAAGGGGAAAAAACAAGAAAATGATTCAACTAACCTGGTCACCCCTGAATCCGGGTCTGCATTTGCAAGTTCCATCAATCGGATTGCAGAGCCCAAAATTTTGGCACTCGCATTTCTTCTGACAAGATGGTCCCCATTTCCCATCCGGACACGGATTTGCACAAACTTCCCCCTTAAAAAAAAAGAAGTAATCGCAAAAATCAGAACACAAGATTTTAAACGTCNAAAATCTCCGTCAATAATTTATTTCTTGGAGAGAAAAAAAAAAGAAGAAAAGGGGAAAAAACAAGAAAATGATTCAACTAACCTGGTCACCCCTGAATCCGGGTCTGCATTTGCAAGTTCCATCAATCGGATTGCAGAGCCCAAAATTTTGGCACTCGCATTTCTTCTGACAAGATGGTCCCCATTTCCCATCCGGACACGGATTTGCACAAACTTCCCCCTTAAAAAAAAAGAAGTAATCGCAAAAATCAGAACACAAGATTTTAAACGTCAGATTCTGGAGATATACAGGGTGGGCCAAAAAAAATGAACCGATTGTTTACTTGTAATAGCTCAGTAGCAAATTGAGCTGCGGCAATAAAAAAAACCAAATGAAAGCTTGTTCAATTTCAATTTTATTGATTTACGTCAAATTCCAAATTAAAAATCACATTGTTTATTTATACACTAATTATGTATTCTCCCAAATGAATAATTTCAATAGCCTACTATTTTAAAAGAATTGAATATTTAAAAATAATTTAGTACTAATTAAAGAAAATACAGTATTTTTTTCTTCCCAAATAAATAATTTTTGTAAATCCAGAATTTGCCACAATTATTTGAACGACGGGAAAATTAAAAAAATTGAGATAACATCGAACATTCAAGGATACAAAGTTGACTCGATGAAAATTTAAAAAATAAGACTCACGGTCCATCCTGGCTGACATTCACAGCCTCCAGTGACTGGGTCGCATTTCCCTCCGTTTTGGCATTTGCAAACGTTTTTGCAATGCTCTCCGTGTCTTCCTTCCGGACATTGTGCGTCACAACTGAGAACGAGAAGGAAAATAAGCAAAAGGATGTCACATCCGGCTTTAAAAAAAAATCCTCGAACATTTTAACGAATGCTCGATATAAAACGATAAAAACAAATACCGTAAATAAATTCCACGGTATCAAGCATCGAATAGTTTCCAAAATTCCTCAACATCGACATCTTTTTTAATTTTCTAATATAGAAGACAATTTTTGGGGCAAAGACGCCGCGATTCGAAACCCCGAAAAATTACCACAGAATAAAAATTATCATGGATACAATAATTGAGATCATTGAGCCGAGAGATTCTTCGAAAATTTTCTTTTTAAGTATCCTGAAATACTGTAAATACATCTCCAGGCAAGCGAGTTTCTGAGTCAGAATTATCTGAACTACTTCGGGGTCAATTGACAAAAAATTCAAGCAAACCTCTTTTTATGATCTACGGATTTTAAAAAATTTTGAATTTCTAAATGTAATCACAGTAATTTTTGCAAACAAAATTACCTTTAACCGTCACATTACATAAAACATTGATTTGAATGATTCAAAAATTATTTTCAGATTTCAAACATGGTCACCAAGAAGGCTTTCTTTCAAATTATTTTGAAAAATTTGATCACATTCGGAATACATTTAAATTTATAGTAAATATTATTTGGCAAATATACCTCATTTCCTCATGTATCACAGAATTTTCTTTTTCTTTTAAAATTTAATTTATTTCCATGCATCTAACAAGACTTGAAAAACAAATAAACTGATCGTCGGAATTTTTCTAAAATTCCATAACAATGAGTAAACCGTAATTAAAATGCTTCAATTATGGTCGAACTCGCAGAGGGAAATTATTGGAAACCCTCTTTTTCGGCAAATTGATCAAAACGACTGATGAACAAATCACAATGCGGTCTTTTTTTTTTAAGTCAATCAGGTATCAGATCATAACGAATCTACGAACCCCAAATAATTAATGACCCTGCTCCAGAAAAATCTCCCGGTTTCAGGTCTATAAATGTCAGTAATAGTGGGTGAGCAACT